CACTCCACTCCACTCCATTCCAATCCAATATTTTTCTTGTTTGATTTTGCCTCAAAACAACAGGAAAAGTTTGAGCAGTTAAAAATAATAATAAAAGAACTCAACCAGCAAAGGTTCTATGATGCACGATCAATTCTTACCTTTCCACCCACAGAAGACCATTTGGATCTCTTTTCCAATTGCCTTGTACTCTGCGCAGAAACTGTGGTCTTCCACGTGCCTGTAGAACCATTCAGGGTTATCAAAGGCTCGCTGGTGGGGAGACAAAGTAAAGGAAGGATATATTCTGAGCACGCACCCAGTTTATCAGCCAATAAATAGACCCATTAAAGCAGGGGTCTCCAACCTTGAGTCATGAGCCATGGTGGCGCAGTGGTTGGAGTGCAGTACTGCAGGCTACTTCTGCTGCCCGCCGGCTGCCTGCAATTTAGCAGTTCAAATCTCACCAGGCTCAAGCGTCAGACCTTCTTTCAGGCCTGCCACAAATTCTACTGTGGGAAAATGGAGGGGGGGGGATTGTATGGAGTGAAGATGATAGGTAGTCAAAATAACATTCTTTCCAGAAAGTCAAGGCCACTTTGCCCTGCAGCTGTGCTGAGAAGAATGAGGAGGTATCTTCTGTTCCGGAGGGTATCTGATTGGTTTGTGTGATGGGCATGTGAGCGATAGGCAAGGACTTGAACTTTCTTTTGGGTGACGAAAACCCAGAAGTTCTCAGATTTGGGTTTTCCCAGATGTGCCAATATGACATCTCTAATAACAATTAGCTTTAAGGAAACTCAAGCCTCGGAGTTTGATTTCTTTGGGAGTGTTACTTGGAAGCCTGACATTAAGGTTGACTCAGCCTTCCATCCTTCCAAGGTGGGTAAAATGAGGACCCAAAATTGTTGGGAGCAAGATGCTGACTCTGTAAACCACTTATTGAGGGGCTGTAAAGCAGTATATAAGTCTAAGTGCTATTGCTATTGCCAACTTTACGTTTTAAAGTTGCATTAAAAGATGTTATTCCTTTAAATCAATATTACACTTTCTAAAAGCTTAATAAATCCCATCCAGGAGCTCTGCATACACATGGAAGTTTATAGACACCCCACTCCACCCTGGGGGAGACTTAATCTTTACAAGCTGGCTAACAATAATCTGTGTCCTCCTTAACATGGCTCCATTCACTAAATTTCTTGTGAGATCATCTCAAGGCATTCCGCATTTTCCTGTTGGCACACAATTTTACACTTCCCTGGAGGTTTCAACCAGAGACCTGCAATGGGGGAAAAAGGGGGAAGCTATAGTTTCAGAAAAAGGAGACACAGTGGCTCAGTGGCTAAGACGCTGAGCTTGTCGATCGAAAGGTCGGCAGTTCAGCGGTTCGAATCCCTAGTGCCGCATGATGGGGTGAGCTCCCATGACTTGTCCCAGCTTCTGCCAACCTAGCTGTTTGAAAGCATGTTAAAAAATGCAAGTAGAAAAATAGGGACCACCTTTGGTGGGAAGGGAACAGCGTTCCGTGTGCCTTTGGCGTTGAGTCATGCCGGCCACATGACCACGGAGACATCTTCGGACAGCGCTGGCTCTTCGGCTTTGAAACGGAGATGAGCACCGCCCCCTAGAGTCGGGAATGACTAGCACATACATGCGAGGGGAACCTTTATCTTTACCCTTATAGTTTCAGAGGTCAATTTCCAAAATGAATACAGGTAGGCCACAACTTACAACAGTTCGTTTAGTGACCGTTCAAAGTTACAATGGCACGGAGAAAAGCGATTTATGAAAGTTTTTCACGCTTATGACAGTTGCAGCATCTTCGAGGTCACATGACCAAAATTCAGATACTTGGCAACTGAGTCACTAGCGAAGTCCATGGAGAAGGCAGATTCACTTAACAACCTTGTTACTAACTTAACAACTGCAGTGGGTCACTTACGGTCACAAAATGGGGCAAAACTCGTTTAACTGTCTCGCTTAGCAACATAAATTTTGGGCTCAATTGTGGTCCTAAGTTGAGGACCATCTGTATAAAGGGAACCTAGGTTTAGGAATATCATACTTATACGCTATGGACTTTCCAGAGATTAGTCCTAGAGATACAATTATGTTTATTAAATAGCAAAAAAAAATATTCCAAGCATTTTCCACGGGCACACCATTTTTGTACATGTTTCAGAATGATGCTTCTGTAAATTCAAATTTAAACTGGGAGTGGAGTGTTCTGAAAACATTCCTGAATTGTTTTCAGGATAATTGAGAGGGAGAAGTGAACATGTTTGCATAATCTCTTCAATAATTTATACAATTCGTTTTGGTCTGATAAAGCAATGTACTTAGGTCCATCCCGCAGTCATTGCAGCGCGCCAAGAATCTGTCTGAACCTCAGAAGCTGGTTGTGTATCCTTGCACTGTGCAGTGGACACACTCAACACAATAAGTCTAGCAGAACTGCCATTTTGAGCTTCGGCTTCATTCTCGCTTTGCTAGATGCCAGCCTGCCATAAACTAAGGGAGGGAAGGAATTGCTGGGATCCCAGGGAAAAGGGGAAAACCAAAACTACTCATTGTGTCATTCTGAGACATCAGCTCGTGGTGCCAAGGCCAGAGGCCTGGGAGGAGAAATACCACAGCTAATTATCTAGCCTACAGTTCCCAAAACAAATCCTTGAAATGCAATTAGACAGATAACAAGGGGGAGGAATGGCGAAAGGGAAGGTTAACTAGGAAACCTTCTCATGCAAACATTAGTTCTGGGTTCGCTGTACTGTAATCACTTGGTCTTTAGTAAAAGTATGCCTTTCACACAAATGGAGTCCAGAGTCTTTCTTTCCTAAGGATCCAAGCCAGGGCAGGTGTGATAACCTCACTGGGAAAAACCGCCCATCTTCCCATCCCATCTCTCACCTCACAGTATTCCCAAAGACAGAGGAAGTTCTCTTGGATCTCAGGGATAATGTTCCGGCTCTGGAAGTCCAGCTGGCAGGGAGTCAAGTCAGACTGGCTCTGTAAGACGTGGAGGCCCCACTGCTTCAGCTTGGTGTGGTAACAGTGGAAGTAAACATGGCGGACGAGCTCCGCAGAACTCTCGGGGGAACAAAAGCCACATTCCTGCCAGAGGCAAGCGTATTCTTCTGGGGAGGGAAAAACAGAAAGTTCATAGAGACAAGCACGAAGCTTATCTGCAAGAGACTTACATTACAAATTTCTACTTAGTAATGGGTCTTGGTCACCCTCCCATTTCTGGATGAGATTTTATAAAACAGAAGCTCTTCTGATTTAACACTAGAGCTTTTAATTAAAAAAAGAAGGCAGGGAAAGTAACTTTCTCAGACTTTTCTCAACTAACCACCTCTTTCTTTAGCTGATTCATGCTCTCACTAACTTTTCAAACCCAGTTTAGCTTAAGCCTGCCTTCTCCACGCGTCCCTTGCCTACAGCAATTCACACCCTTCCCCTGCTTCAATTTTACACTGACGTAAGTTAACTAGGGCAGTGAAGGAGCTGCAACTTCTCCCTTGCAATTCCAGTGGGAGCTTTGGGCAAACTCCGGTGGCTTACAGGACTCTCTGCAATAAGAAAGACCAATAGGCTGGCTGCCTGGCACTGAACCAGAAAGGTAATTTAGAGGAGATGGGGTTTTCTAATGAAACCAATCCATTCTTTTAACGAGGAGGAGGAAGGGAATACAGAGAAGCAGTGTGCCAATTTTCAGAGAGGAACGCCACGCAGCTCATATTAAAAGCAAATAAGAGCCACAGCGATGTCCAAGGAGGTCAAAAAAGTCAGAGCGATAGCCCCAGCCAGGCGATCAAAGCCCCAACCCTTTTTATCTGCATCACAGCTTGACATCCTGCAACCCCTCCTAGAGGACTCTGCTGCACTGAGAATCAAACCTGCAGAAAAAACAATGGCTACCAACCTGCCTTCCATTGAGGACCTCTATACTGCACAAGTAAAAAAAGAGGGCTGTGAAAATATCTAGACACCCCTCACATCCTGAACATAAACTGTTTCAACTCCTACCCTCAAAACGACGCTATAGAGCACTGCACACCAGAACAACTAGACACAAGGACAGTTTTTTTCCCAAACGCCATCACTCTGCTAAACAAATAATTCTCTCAACACTGTCAAACTATTACCTAAGTCTGCACTACTATTAATCTTCTCGTTGTTCCTATCACTCATCTCCTCCCACTTTGGACTGTATGACTGTAACTTTGTTGCTTTATCCTTATGATTTATATTGACAGTTTCCTAGTATGATTCAATTACTTTATTGTACCATATGACTATCACTGGGTGTTGTGCCTTGTGATTCTTGACAAGTGTATCTTGTCTTTTTATGTACACTGAGAACATGTGCACCAAAGACAAATTCCTTGTGTGTCCAGTCACACTCGGCCAATAAAGAATTCTAATTCTATTCTATTCTAACCTGCCCTGCGTGGCCCTTACCAAGAGAATCCATTTCATTGTCCTCCTCCTTGCTCTGGAGATGCTGCTGCAGGTGCTGCGAGACGTGTTCGCAAAAGTCTTCCATCTTCGAGGCCACAAAGCTGCAGATTTCCCATTCACACTGCAGGACCAAAGTCTCTTTCTCCCCCATCTTCCCAGGAGGCATGGTCACAATCCTGCAGGGCAATCGGAGAAAGGTGGGGGGTCTCTCTCACATCCCGAAGGAGGTCTTCCGTCGCCTTCCCTCCAGCCTCGGAAAGGAGTTGATGGGAAGAGCTGGAATTCTGCCCAACGCACCTCCCGACTCCAATTATCCTGTGGATTTTACGGTCTTTAGAAAAGCATCCTCATCCAATTCCGCAATCTCAAGGATTTGCTGTGCGAAAGAGCTTCAGAGCAAGCTGCCTGCAATGAATTTCCAGCGAAGTCACAACGAACTTCCTTCGGTCCAAAGGGCAGGGCAGGCAGTAAAGAAAAAAAAAGTATATATAAATGCATATACATATATTGTAATATATTGCATCTTATGCTATACGGTGCTACATATATATTACCTCTTAAACATTCTATAGACCCGCCGTGTATAGTATATACAATAGTTACACACACAATGGTATGGGTGGATGGATAGAAAGAGAAGATAGATAGATAGATAGATGATAGATAGATAGATAGATAGATAGATAGATAGATAGATAGGTGGGTGGGTAGGTAGGTAGATGATAGAGCTAGATAGATAAATATGAGAGATGGATGGATGGATAGATAGATAGATAGATAGATAGATAGATAGATAGATAGAGATGATAAAGCTAGATAGATAGATGCATAGAGATAGAGAGATAAATGAGAGATGAGATATAGATTGATATAGATGATAGATACAGATGATAGATAGATGAAAGGGATAGATATAGATTATAGATAGATGATAGATGGATGATAAATGAGATAGATAGATAGATAGATAGATAGATAGATGTAGAGACAGACAGACAGAAAGACAGACAGACAGACACATACATACATACTTACAGAGGGAGATAAAAGAAGGGAGAATATGTAAATTTATTTTACCATTTTACCATTTTTGTGGTTTTTGTAGGCTGCCCAACGTTTTCTGGAGCAGGCAGCCATACCAAATCAAATACAAATCAAATTATAAAGTACCATATTACTATAAACACGCAAATATACATGCTATATAGCATAACATAATGGACTATATTTTACATATACAAAGTTGTCAATATTATATAAAACAATATAGAATGATGATCTCCCTTCGCGTTTCTACCCATTGTTGGTGTCATTTTTTTTGTGCCCCTCCTGAGAAAAACAAAGCGCCTTCCCCGACCCGGGGTCCTCCAGAATTTAGGTGGACTTGGGTTCCCCTAATCCCCACCAGCTCGGCCAAGGCCGGGGCTCCGCGCAGCTTGAAAGGCCCCCCCGGCCATCGTCTGAGTCGCTCCCTCCCCGGCGCCTCGCCCTTTCGTGCGGCGTCCACACACCCACCAGGCTGGACCGAAGAAGGGTCCCCGGCTCGAGACTTCCTTAGCCGAAAAAACGGGGTCTGAAGGAACAAAAACGACCTCCGGTTCGGGGAGCCAAGGCTCGGGGGCACCCACTAGGCCGCGTTTCCATAGTTACCGAGTGTTTCCCGGCCGGCCGGCCGATGTCCGATGCGATGATCCTTCCCCCCCCAACAACCACCACCTGCGCGCCAGCCAATGAAGGCTCCGGAGGCGTCCGAAGCAGCCAATGGCGTGGCGAGGGGAGGGCGGGACTTAGCCTGCCTGTCAAAACATAAAGAGAGCATCGCGGTGTTAGGTCCGACAGAGAACCGAAGGTTCTTGAGGAATGGTTCCGGGTTGAATGGGAAACCTGAGCATCCATTTAGTTTGGAGACCCAGAAACCAAAGATTAAGAGATAATAAAAAGATGGAGAAAAGTGTATTGTCGTCCAGAATTGTTGTAGACTTTAGTGCAAGCTACAAGGCTCTTCCCACTTCTTCCCTTGCCCCATACCGTTCCTACAAAGGGTGGAATCAAGCCAATGCAGAAATGATAAATAAAACAATACTTTTATTAGGCATATTAGAAGATCACCCTTCCAAACATCCCTGGAGAATGTTCAAGCAATTCTGGATCAGGACCATGGTTTTTAGTACTTGGATAGAAGACAATGAAAGTTGCATTGGCTACAGTAGAAAGGGTTTTTTTATTATTATAATTTTTACTATTCAAATTATATGCTGCTGCCCATTTTGCCTAGGCTTGACCTCACTTGTACCAAACTGATTGCATATTGTGGGGCACTGGTTGAGCCAGGGGATTTCAGATCCTACTGAAATCAAATGTAGCATTGTGTTGCATTGAAAAATTGAGCAAGATGTAATAAAATTGTGGCCTTTTGCAAATGCAGGTTGCATACCTAGCTATTCTGGATTGTTCTGTCAGAAAAAGTGAATAAATGACACTCAGATTTGTATGAATAACCCAATCTTTGTATCATCTCATATAACACCCCAACTCCTGCCAACTCCATTTCTCCATTAGAGCATGGAAATAGCAATAGCACTTAGACTTATATACCGCTTCACAGAAGCCCTCTCTAAGCTCTTTTACAGAGTCAGCCTCTTGCCCCCAACAATCTGGGTCCTCATTTTACTGACCTCGGAAGGATGGAAGGCTGAGTCAACCTTGAGCGGGTCAAAATTGAACTCCTGGCAGTAAACAGTGAGTTAGCTTGCAACACTGCATTCTAATCACTGCACCACCATGGCTGATATCAATTAGTCTACTCTAAAGATGGACCAAAGTGAGATCCAGCCAATATTTTTCATAACGATTGATAGCGATATGAAATATCCAAACAAAATAAAACCTTTTCCAAAATCTATAAAGATTTTGTATTTGATTTCCAAAAAGATGCTAAAATGGAAAGATGCATCCAGAATCAGCTCTGAGTGCAGATAAAATTTCATTTTAAGTTTGTCTTTACTGTAATCTATCTGTATCTTTAATTCCTTCCAGGAGGAATTTCGATTTTTTTTAAAAAAATAGTTTGTAAAGTATGTGTCTTATGTTAATGTGTTTAAGTGTATTTGTTTGAAAATATTACTTTGCATCACAATTAGGGTTGCTATAAATTCTCTTGCTATAAATATATGGTTGAGGGATTTTTTTTTCCTTTTGTTATTTACAGTTTACTGAGAGTTGTTATGATTATAAAATAGATTGAAATAAAGTTAAGGAACAGCTTTCTAACTAAAGATAATGGGAAATGGAGAAAAAACTCTCTTTGGGTAGTATCCACAGGAGTTTGGATTACATTGTAAGCTATCCAGACCAAGATGTAAAAAAGATGTTGAGACTCTAGAAAGAGTGCAGAGAAGAGCGACCAAGAGGATTAGGGGACTGGAGGCTAAAACATATGAAGAACGCTTACAGGAACTGGGTATGTCTAGTTTAATGAAAAGAAGGACTAGGGGAGACATGATAGCAGTGTTCCAATATCTCAGGGGTTGCCACAAAGAAGAGGGAGTCAAGCTATTCTCCAAAGCACCTGAGGGCAGGACAAGAAGCAATGGGTGGAAACTAATCAAGGAGAGAAGCAACTTAGAACTAAGAAGAAATTTCCTGACAGTTAGAACAATTAATAAGCGGAACAACTTGCCTGCAGAAGTTGTGAATCCTCCAACACTGGAAATTTTTAAGAAGATGTTGGATAACCATTTGTCTGAAGTGGTGTAGGGTTTCCTGCCTGGGCAGGAGGTTGGACTAGAAGACCTCCAAGGTCCCTTCCAACTCTGTTATTCTATTCTATTCTGTCCTGTCCTGTCCTGTCAATGTTCTTTTCTCAATAAAGATTTCTATTCTATTCTATTCTATTCTATTCTATTCTATTCTATTCTATTCTTCTATTCTATTCTATTCTATTCTATTCGACATAGAACATTTATTTAGCTACAAAGCAGTTTTTTTGACAATTGCAAATACTCAATATCCATTCTAATGATTAAAAATAGCAAGTAATTGTAGGACTCCTCACAATCTTAAACATTCTTGATGTAACATTTTCCTGTAGCAAGAGTTTATTTGTAAAAACGAACATCTATCCATCCATCCATCCATCCATCCATCCATCCATCCTCTCTTGTCCTCTCGCTCCTAAAATTATGCATTTTGGCTCAGTGAATGCGCCTTTTCACCCTGCTCCTCGCTGACTATGCAAATTGCATCTAAACAGGCATCAAAGGATTTGCATTTATACAAATCCTACAGAACTCATTTCTGAGATGTCTTCTAAAATTGTGGAAAAAGCCATTTCTGTTCAGCTCAAAGGGAGCGGGAGTGAGAAACAGAGTCTTCTGTGGCAGCATCCAAGTTCATGACGGCTGATTTCCTCAAATATTCTGCTAAATTTCCGGAGAGAGAAATTATCCCTCTTGAGCATGGAAACTGGTAAGTATTGACTTGATCCACCTAACATGTGTATTAATTTGCTTAGCAGTGGCATAGTGGCATAGAGGTTTGTAAAATCAGGCCTTGCTTAGCAATGGAAATTCTTCCCCCAATTGAGAATGTTAAGTCAAGAACTGCCTATACATTGACTCCCTCAAAAGTATGCATCAGAAATAGACCCTCCAGGTCAGGAAATTAACTATCAGTATCAGAAGGTTAATTCCACTGAACCAAAAACACAGGAAAAGTTGATTTCAAATCCTGCCAATTGAAACGGTTCAGACAATTTGTGGGGGTGAAGTTTCTTAAAATACTGTAATTATTGTATTTGGATGAGTGCATCTTAGCTGACTAAAGGGAGAAATGGAGAAAAGAATAACTCTTTTCCTTCCGGACTAAAGAAAAGACAGAGATTTCCAACTAGTTTTATTTAAACAAAAACAAGGAGCAGTTTTATCCTAAAACAGAATCTTTAACCAGCTATGCTCTCTGACTTAAGCTCCAGACAAAGCAGGAAATTGATTGCTTGGATTTTCTTTTATTCTCTGTATTGACTGGGTGCATAGTTATTTCTGATCATAATTGATTCCTGCAAACTTTTTATTTAAGGAGGGGGAGGGGGGGTTCTGCTGCCTTTTTAGATGACTTGTAGCCAAAATCGGGATAGAAGAGATCTAAACAGTCAATGGCTAGCCTTTCCATTATAGCAGACCTTGAAAAAGCTTTCCATGGATTACCACTCCCAATTTGCAGAACTAATCTGTCCCTATTTTCCAAGCAGAACAAAATGCTAAATGAATGCCATATACTAGATCAATAAATAGCTAGATAGAGAACAAAAGCACAAAACATTCGTGTACAAAAAGATCTGTGTTTGGAACGGTATGTCAATATGCACAAAAGATCAAAGAATTTTCCCCATAGGACACTTTCTTTGAGCTTGGATGATGCTCTGGTTTTGTGGTTGCATTGTTTCCTAAAGGATTAAATGGATTCTCAAATAACATCTGGTTGAAAGTTCTCCTTAGGCAGTTTCTCACTTCTGCAGGGTAGATTCTGTGAGCCTGGGGGTGTCTTCAGGGTATAAATCCAGAAGTCAAGGTTCCAACTCTTTTGTTTTGTTTTGCTTTTTTAATGTGCATTGTGCCCAGTTCCAAAAGCTCTCGCCTCACACTCAGGAGGCTGTGAGTTTGATCCTAGATAGAGACAGATATTTCTCTCTCTGGGCAGGATGAGAATATATCTGCTGAACAAAACTCTGCATTGGTGACAGGAAAGGCATCCGGCCATTAAAACACTCTGCTAGCTCCATTCAGTTGCCCAGATTCCACCCCACAAGGGATTATGGGGTCATTAAATGAAGATGATGATTGTGAACGGTTCCAAAGGCAGAATAAAAGAAGCTGCTTCATTATTTCAAGTTGAATGAGATTAGAATGGTCCCGCCACAGCAGCAAAATATACAGAGAAGCATCTGGTGAAAGCATGGTTGCCAATGATTCAGGAAGCACTCCTGTGAGTGGGGGAAAAAAAATATTGTTTCCACTTTGGAATGATATTTGGAAAAATATAAGTAGCCCTCAACTTACAACCCTTCATTTAGTGACTGTTCGAAGATCTCTAATCAGTTTAGGACCATCACAGTTGCAGTCACATGATCAAAATTTGGACACTTGGCAATTGGCATGTATTCATGATGGCTGCAGGATCCCAGGATCATGGGATCCCCATCTGTGAACTTCCTAGCCGGCTTCCAACAAGCAAAGTTAATGGGTGAAACCGGATTAATTTAACAAGTACATGATTGACTTACATTGTCCCAGGAGCCAGGAGGAAAAAAATCCAGCCTGGTTAAATTTAGCCAATACCCAAACTCTTGAAATATTAGCAAAATGCTCTCCACCCTGGTTGAATGAAGAGATTTTTGATTCACGTTAAACAAAAATTGAATCTGCACATTAGACTATGTCATAGTTGCTTCCTGTTAGCTAGCTTTCATTTACTAAACCAAGAACAAATCAATGATAGGATGGCTTAACCTTGGTTGAACATCAGTCCCTCCACTGTATTTATAACCCTAGTTATTTCAAGATGGGGATTGGAAGGTTTCTATGGCCTCTGAATGGTATATCTCAATCGATTGATCAATCAATCAATCAATCCCTTTGGAACACAAAACATCCATCCAAGCTTGGCCTGTTGACCCTGGATTTCATGGCACCTCCGATCCATGAATGAAAGAACAAACCATATAGCCTTACTCTACTTCTTTTTATTCTCACAACCAACATACAAGGTTGAGTTAGCTCCTGGAGCAGAGGATCCATCCTTGAATCATGTAGATTCAAGGATGGCAATTTGAAGACTTGTGGAAATCAGTTCCCAGAATTACCCAGCCAACAGGAGGAATTCAAGTCCACAGGTCTTCGAGTTGCCAAAGTTGGACACCTCTGGTGTTGGATCTTTATCCAGCATCCCTTATGAGATTCCTTCCTTTCCTTCTCACGTATCTTGTCTTCTTTAGTCCCCGCAGACTACGGCAAGCGTGTTTATCAAGGTGTGCGTGTCAAACACACGGTGAAGGATTTGCTGGCTGAAAAGCGCTCCAGGCAAACAAACAGCTTACGGCGAAATGTAAGTCACCGTCTCTTACCTTCCTTCTCCAAAACCTGGTTCTGACGCAGCAACCTTTAAGGTAAAGGTTCCCCTCGCACATATGTGCTAGTTCCCCCTGACTCTAGGGGGCGGTGTTCATCTCCATTTCAAAGCCAAAGAGACAGTGCTGTCCAAAGACGTCTCCATGGTCATGTGGCCGGCATGACTCAACGCCAAAGGCGCACGGAACGCTGTTACCTTCCCACCAAAGGTGGTCCCTGTTTTTCTACTTGCATTTTTTTTACGTGCTTTTGAGCTGCTAGGTTGGCAGAAGCTGGGACAAGTAACGGAAGCTCACCGTTAGGGATTCGAACCGCTGAACTGCCGACCTTTCGATCGACAAGCTCAGCGTCTTAGCCACTGAGCCACCGCGTCCCTCAGCAACCTTTAACCATGGCTAAAAATAGAGGTTGCTTAGGCAGGAAGACTCAATATCTGCCGTATGTATTTTACATTTAATATCTAGGCCAACTTTTGAGGGGGAAAAAATCGTGTTGCAAGAGTTCACATGGACCAGTGGCAATAACAATGCATTCAGTAGGGACTATGTTGGCTGAACAATATGCAACATTATAGAGGTTGTCCTTGACTTTCAACCATAATGGAGCCTCCCCATCATGGTCAGATGCCCCAATAGTCGGTTGATCAGTTGATCAGTTTCCATCCATTATTCCTTGTCTGGCCTTGTCTGGAAAATAGCTTGACCCCCTCCTCTCTGTGGCAGCCCTTCAAATATTGGAACCCTGCTATCATGTCTCCTCTGGTCCTTCTCTTCACTAGACTTTATAATATATTACAAGACCTGATTTTACAATATTCAATATGGCAGTCGTTAAACATGACGGTCATTAAATGAACCAATGGTTTGTGGTGCAGTTTTGCTGAAAACCAGACATCCGGTTTTACCGTCGTAAAACATTGCCATGTGACTGCAGGATGCTGCAAACATCCATCAATGCAGCCAGGTTGCCACGGGAGGTGTCCATCGGAGCTTCGATTCTAGGTTGTGCATAGCTCTCAGGTAGGCCCATCGGAACTCTGACCAGCCACTAAACAACCTGTTGCAATTTGAGGACTACCCGGGGATGATCATTGATGTGCCATCTTTGGGATCCCTTTTCACTCTGGTTGGTCGGACGTCCCCACCCCCAACCCCAAAATATGGGAGCTGCTTCCTTATTTGCACAGAGAGCCTTCCGTCCAAGTTGGGTCCTCTATCCGGGCAGGCATCAATAGAGTTGTTGGACAAGAGACACAATAAACGGTGAGCAAACAGCAGGTGCTCGAACACAGCTGAGATGAGGAGGAAGGAAATGGCTCGTCCCTCTGAACTTATCTTTGGAGAAGAACACACCCTCCATTTTAGCAAAGCAAAATTCCCCTTGCAACAGGTGCGTTCAGGGCTGGATTGGAAATTATTAGGGTGTGTACCTGTTATTTGTTAGCAAATGCAACACTATTTGGGCTTGTCAAATGCTGGCCTTTTTATCTTCCAAATAATCCTGCCATTTGCCATCCCTAAGTTTGATTTCCATACATACCAGATGGCAGAATTCTGTGAGATCTTTCTTTCTTTTTTTTAATTTTTAATTATTATTTTTTTTACACAAACACATAATACATCAATCCTTCCGTGTGTCATCTCGGTGTTTCTTCAATAACCTCTTCTTCTTTTTGATTACTCCTCCTATCTTCATTTCTTCCCTTATAATTTCCATTTCTCTATTACAATATTCCACCCCCCAATACAATACATTTAATATAATATTCTCCTATTTCGTTATCGAAATCCTTATCTATTTCTCTTTTCTATCCAATCATACAATTTCCCCCATATCTTAAAATATTTCATATCTTCTCTCTCTCTTTAATCATCATGGTTAATCTATTCATTTCTGCACAGTCTAAATTTTTTTTAATTCCTTTCCCTTCCAACGGGATTTTCTCTACTTTCCATCTTTGCGCAAATACTATCCTCGCTGCAGTGATTATATCAATAATCAAATAGACATTTTCTTTACCCATTTTCTCTGGTAGGATACCCGGCAGGAAGATCTTTCTGATGATCAATGAACATGGTGAAGTCCATTGATCACGAATAAAAGCGAATATATGTGCCCCAGGATAATGTGTCAAGATCCAATCTTGGTCAATCACCAGGACCAGAAGTTTTGTCTTCCAGCTTTTGGACTCATGCTTGAGGCCATCTTCAGGGAGGAACTGCTCTGCTAGATAGAGAGAAGTTCTCTGAAGATGGGCTCCAACACAAGTCCGAAAGCTCGGAAGACAAAACCTCTTGTCCCAGTGACTGATTCAGATTAGATCCTGCAAATCCATTTGTGCTTGCCTGGGGCAACCTTAAACACTCCAAGAGCCATTTGGACCTGCTTCCCACAGAAAAGAAAACACCGGGAGCCACAAAACCCTTCCCGTGTCTGACTATTTCTTGAGCAACCACAAAATTAGCATAGGTAGTTGAATCAAACGTTCTGTTTCCTTCTGAAACTTTTCTTCGATTTATCCATGGTTGGCCTTACCAGGATTTGAAAAGCTCAATAAATCGCGTGCTGGCGGGTGTCACACATATTTTGAGTGACAGGGAGCCGCAGCAGAGGGGTGAAAGAGCCACATGCGGCTCCAGAGCCACAGGTTGCTGACCCCTGGCACGGGGAAATGACCAGTTAAAGAAACCACACTGCTGGTTACTTGGTTTTGCAAGAGTTTATGTTAATCTCCACATTCTTTATTATTACTACATAATAAGGATGACATGGTTGTCTGGGTGTTGAAATCCACCAGTCTTAAAGTTGCCACGTTTGAAAAAAGACTGAGTTAGAGGAATGTAAGTATAATGAAGATAAAGCAACAGATCAGGCAAGTAAACCAAGTTAAGAGTCCAAGACTAAAATGAAGACATGCAACCTAGGATCATTTCACAGATGTTCTCATGCTATCCAACTCCAAAAAGAAAGCTTGGTCCACCAGAAGAAAATCTTAACCTCAACAATTTTGAGATGCATGGACTTCAGTTCCTAAATCCCAGCCAGCACGCAGAGAATCCTGGTTGTTGATTTCCTACATTAGTGTTTATCAACCTCAGCAACTTTTAGATATGTGGACTTCAGCATCCAGGATTCTCAGCGTGCTGGCTGGGATCTAGGAGTTGTAATCCATGGATCTCAAAATTGCTGAGGTTGAGACTTTGGGAAAAAATGCAAAGAAGAGCAACTAGGACGATTAAGGGCCTGGAGACAAAAACGTACGAAGAATGGTTGCAGGATTTGGGTTTGGCTAGTCTAGAGAAAAGAAGGACTAGGGGGGGGGGACATGATAGCAGCCTTCCAATATTTGAGGGGCTGCCACAAAGAAGAGGGAGTCAAACTATTTTCCAAAGCATCAGAAGGCAGGACAAGAAACAATGGATGGAAACTAATCAAGGAGAGAAGCAACCTGGAATTAAGGAGAAACTTCCTAACAGTGAGGACAATTCACAGTGGAACAGCTTGCCACCAGAAGTTGTAGGTGCTTCAACATTGAAGGTTTTTAAGAAAAGATTCTCCTAGCATGCTGGCTGGGGGAATTCTGGGGATTGCAATCCACCCATCTTAAAGTTCCTGAGGTGGAGAAACTCTCCTAAAGAAACAAACCTTGCACAAATGGCTTCCAATTGATCTGTCCCAGTTCCACCAAGGTGGTGATGGTGGCAGCATCTGAAGTTCTCCACCCGTTCCCCACCCTCGGATCTGTAGGTTTGTTTTCTGTTTCTAACCTCTCGCTGGTAACAGCCATGAGCTCTCATGAGCTAATTTCCATGGACTACCTGGTGTCCAGGTGGGAGCTGGGTGTTGGTCACCAAAAGGTAATCTTGACACTGGCAAATTTTAATTCAAATCCAGACCTCTAAATTTGGTTGCTTGCTAGGGCAGGAAACTCCTGTTTACAGTATGCAAACTGAAGAAGGTCGCATTTTGCGTTGCCTGGCTGGAAACTAATTGTAGCATTTGCTATTCAGGGCGATTGGGTTGTATTTAATTGATGAACTGGAAAACTAAAATAAAGAATGTCCTTGAATTAGTTCTGAAAGGAGATCGGTGGCATCTTTTTTTTATCATTCTTTCTGAAGATCTAGGCCAAAAGCTAGCTTGGCTTAGCTTCTTTCTCTTGGAATATAAAGAGGGTTGAACATTGGATCTGGATCAGAGGTGGGTTTCAGCAGGTTCTGGAGAACCGGTAGCGGAAATTTCAAGTAGTTCGGAGAACCGGTAGTAAAAATTCTGATTCCCGAGTCCGAGCCGATCGTGAGGAAATGGGGATTTTGCAGTAACCTTCCCCTGGAGCGGGCTGGGAATGGAGATTTTACAGTATCCTTCCTCTGCCATGCCCACCAAGCCACGCCCACCAAGCCACACCATGCCCACCAAGACATGCCCACAGAACCGGTAGTAAAAAAAATTGGATTTCACCACTGCCTTGATGTAACATACCTCGATTTTTTTTCCGTGACATTCTGAGCTCTGGGATTCCCAAGGCAGGTTTGGCTAGGACACACCAGTGGGCGGAGGATTTCAATTAACAGGATTTCATTTCCATTCAGTTCAATTACTTGCATCACACTGCTAATAGGATTATTCCTCAGCCAGTTTCCTGTGTTTCACATGAAAAAGTATAAAGCATGAGTATTAATATTTTATGGGCTGAATCTGAAAGTACTGTGAGTAACTTATTGGCATCCCCTTGGCCAAATTTCCCTCCCACAGCAGCATCGCCCAAAATAAAAACGAGGAGTTGCAATGGACGTGAAACCAAGTAGGGCTCAACTGTGTATGTGGGAGGCTGCCATCTTTGACCTGGTCTCCCCCAGAGATGCTCCTGGCCACAGCTCCGGCTTGAAGCGTGAATTTGCAAATCAGAAACCTCAAGTTCGGTCTATACTTAGAAAGGATTCCGCACTTTTGGGTTTGTTTGATCTAAGATGGCGCCTTATGACACCGAGTTAAGGTAGCACGCTAAGCTACAATGTCCTTTGTTCATGGGTGGCTTAACGTGTCACGTGGCTCCAGCTATTCTGGCTTGCAAAGCACTTTTTGTGGCTTAGCTGCTGGGCACACTTAGCCCAAATTCCTTTTCAAGCTGTTGTGTTTTCCTTTCAGGGAAGCGTTGTGAGCTCTCAGCCATCTTTTATTCCTCTGCCCAGTAAGTATTTTACTTTTATAACTACATCTCTATCCCAATTCTGCCTATTAAAAAAAAAAAATCTTCTGTTAACATGGAACTCCTGATCCAACTCACTTTAAGGAAGAAATTCCCTCTTCGTTTTCACACGCGAGCTGAAACATGCCTCGCTGGAATTATTCCTCTTATGAAAACATGCACCCATCATTCAAAACCTTATTGCCCCGAGAATATTCTCCATATCACATTCATAAATTAATTGACTAGATGTCCTTGACCAGTCACCAAAAGCTTCTTTAATTTGGTGACAGCTCCAAAGTTATGGCATTCTCATAGTTTCTATATGTTGGAAGAAATGTCCATCTGGGTTCAGTTCCAAGTAGGGAGAAAGACATTGGAAATGGAGGCTGATTGGGAAGATGGTTTAATGGTGAGAGAGAGAAAGAGAGAGGGAGGGAAAGGGGGAGAGAGAGATGAGAGAGTGAGAGAGGGGGGGAGAGAGAGATGAGAGAGTGAGAGAGAGAGAAAGGGGGAGAGAGAGAAGAGAGAGAGAGAGAGAGAGAGAGAGAGAGAGAGAGAGAGAGAGAGATCCCCAGTTGCCATGTGGTGAGCTCTGCTGCTAGATGGTAGAGGGCTAATCCTATTATATCCTGAGGGTGAAGGTCTTTTGTCTTGTAGATAGGTTGGCCCAGTCTTTTGTCTTATAGATAGGCTGGCACCAAAATATCTGCTGGGGCAGGGAGCTGAGGCTGAGTTTCTGTTTCCTTTGAGATTTTTATTTCTCTTTTAGGGGAAATATTCTGCCTTTTTAATATTTCCTAGAATGTTTCATTCTTCCAGGAGAGGGGTGGGTGCTAACTTTCTACATATATATTCCTGTTTTCCCTTCCCACTTCTACCACACCCTGACCATCCATTTCTCCCCGGCCCAAAGGTTCTCCCACAGCATCCGGTTATTATGGCGTTCGAAGATCCTTGGCGACAGATATGGACTTACACAACAGCAAAGATATTTCCAGCGAAGTCTACGGTTCCTCTTTGCTACCCAAGTCATTGGCTTATGAATCCCCAGCTACTCAGGGATATTCTTTGTCTCTGGATGCCCACTTAATCGATCAGTATCTGGACCAACGGGCTGGATCCATCCCCTCTGGAACCTCTGCTGTGCTTGGCAACTCAACATCATCCTTTCCAAGCGATTCAGCTCATTATTTCAGTGTAAGTAGAGGACAATGGGGTTAAACGGAGAAGGACCTCGGTTAATTTTTGTTTTTTTGAGTCCACCTTGTAGTAGTCCATCTTTCTGTTCCTACCTACACTGGAGCTCAATTTTTTTTTTTAAATCCATGGCGGAGTTGAGAACCTAATGGTTCTCCAAAAATTGACACTCTACAATACTCATTATCTTTGACCATCAACGGGGAGGGTTGGGGCAGATGGACAACTCCTATGAACCCTGGGAGAACAGCTGTAGTTGGACCCTAAAACAATTCCCCACATCTTCCTTAGGGGTATATGTCATTTTTGTTTCTCCGAGCTGATCCCAGAGATGCTTCTGGAGATCCAACAGTGACATGACAGAATGCCCTGAAGTTCTTGGGTTGAGCTGAATTTTGTACAGCGCCACTAAATGACATTTCGACTGGATTCTCAAATTGTACTAAATCACACCGTGCTTTCCTGTTCCTTTGAATTTAATGAACCAACCAGCCTAATCATCTTCTCAGCTCAGTCCGTGGGCCTCTCTCTCTCTGTGGCTGAGCTGAAGCTCTCCATGAAGGTCCTCATTTTACCTACCTCGGAAGGATGGAAGGCTGAGTCAACCTTGAGCCTGGTGAGATTTGAACTCGCAGTAATTGCAGGCAGCTGGTGCTACTTAATTGCACTTTAGTCTGCTGCACCACCAAGGCTCTTCTCTGCACTTTTTCTAGAGTCTCCACAACTTTTTTATAGTGTGGTGACCAAAACTGGATGTGGTCTTACTAAGGCTTTATAGAGTGGTATTAGTACTTCACTTGATCTTGATTGCATCCCTCTGTTAATGCAGTTTAGGATTGCATTGGCTTTTTTTTTTGGCTGCTGGCTCATATTTAACTGGTTGTCCACTAAGACTCCAAGATCCCTCTCAGAATTATGGCTATTAAGCCTGGTTTCACCCAGTCTATATGGGTACTTTTGGTTTTTCTTACCTAAGTGTAGGACTTTACTTTTCCCTCCGTGGCCTCTGCTGATAATTCTGCAGGGAAAGTTATTCTCCTTCAACACTTTTGGAATCATTAAATGCACTTCTCTTTCTTCCTCTAGCAGAGAGACACCTGGGAACAATCTGTGCCGGACAACCTTGGCCAGCTGGAAGCATGTCCAGAACCTCTCCAAGTAGCTCCGGTCTCCAGCTGCCTTTCAGCTCACGAGCCCGGGACAGCTTCTCACTGCAGAAACCCCAACTGGAATGTATCCCTCTCTGGAATCCAGTCGTATTCCTTCCACCCTCTCGAAGATGTCCACTACCCAGCTGTTTTCTCTGCCTCTTCCAACTCGCCCTTCTCCTCTTTCATGGCCGCCGCAGCCAATGACCCCCCTGGGCTCAAGATGCTTCCAGGATCTTCAGAGGAGTCTTCAGATACAGCCGCTCTCCAAGATAGCAGTTCTTTCTGGCCCAAGGAAGACTCAAGTCCTCTCTGGGGGTCCTATGAGGAACGAAGGACTTACTGAGCAAAAAGAAGAGCCAGACAAGACTTCGTTTAGGTTTTGTTTAAGCCACTACCACAGATGTTGAAGTTGGAAGGTGGTTGACCACTACGCTGGTTCAAAGCCAGATCCCACGTAGCTGAGACTTCCTTCGCAATCATATCCCTATCATCCCAACACTAACAATCAAAAGTCAGTCATGGGAAGGTTGAGTTGTGTATGGGCAACCCTGGCTCATAGAAAGCTTGTTCTTAGCTTGCAGAAGATGACAATGGATGAAGTGGGAGTCCTCAGGGAGGAGCTGAGCCCAGTTAGCATAGGCAGCACAGGGCGAACAGCCAAAAAGTTAGGTTTGTGTGTCCTGCTTAGGTACTCTGGGGTTTGCTGAAGCACGTTGAGAAACTTACCTACTGTAGTTTGTAAATATAGTTCACAGACATGCCATTCTCTGATTTTTTATTTTTTTCTTATTTTGATTTATATGCCGCCCTTCCCGGGGACTCAGGGCGGTTTACAGTGCGTTAAGCAATAGCCTTCATCCTTTTGTATATTTATACAAAGTCAGCTTATTGCCCCCACAAACTGGGTCCTCAATTTACCTACCTTAGAAAGGATGGAAAGCTGAGTCAACCTTGAGCCTGGCGAGATTCGATCTTACTTTAATTGCAGACAGCTGGTGTTAAATTACAGTGCTTCTGTCTGTTGAGCTAAACCAGGCTCCTGATCTGATATGATCAGGCTCCTGAATCGTGATATGATTCTCTATATCATCTGCCATTCTTTGTATCAGGGTCTCCAAACTTGGCAGCTTTAAGACTTCTGGACTTCAACTCCCAGAATTCCCTGGCTTGCTATGCTATGCTATGCTATGCTATGTTATGCTATGCTGAGCTGCATTGCGCTGTGCTGTCTGGGGAATTCTGGGAGTTGAAGTCCACAAGTCTTAAAGTTGCCAGGTTTGGAGAGTCCTGCTCTATATGATCAGAACAAACTTCTTCTTCTCCAACAAGTACAGAACAGAACAAATCAAGAGCCTTGATAGTACAGTGGTTTAATGCACCCTGTTATTAACACAGCTGCCTGCAATTACTGCAGGTTCGAATCTCACCAGGCTCAAGGTTGACTCAGCCTTCCATCCTTTCTAAGGTAGGTGAAATGAGGACCCAGTTTGTGGGGGCAATAAGCTGACTTTGTATAAAATATACAAAAGTATGAAGGCTATTGCTTAACGCATTGCAAGCCGCCCTGAATCACTGGAGAAGGGCGGCATATAAATCAAATTTAAAAAAAAAAAGGGAAGGGGATTTCTTTGAGCACATTTTTTTTAATTCGACCAAAGAAGAGAATTTTGAATTTAGCATCTCTAAAGTGATCCTTAAAGATAGAGCTACATCAAGAAAGCAAGCGAGTCTCCTTTAAATCTGGCTTACATCTAGCTTCCCCATTGACAGAAGGTCGTAAAAGGTGATCATGTGATTCCGGGACGCTGCCATTGTCATAAATACAAGCCAGTTGTCAAGCATCTGAATTTTGAGGATGCTTGCAACAGGCATAAGTTTGAAAAAAGGTCATAAATCATTTTGTTCAGTGCTGTTGTAACTTTGAACACTAAATGAATTGTTGTAAATCCAGGATTAAAGGTAAAGGTTCCCCTCTTCTCTTCTCTGTGGGGGCACCTGCCCTTTGGAATGAACTGCCCCCGGACATACGCAAGATCTCTGACCTCCAAGTTTTCCGCTGTGCTCTTAA